CGGAGGCGGAGGCGGAGGAGGAGGAGGAGGAGGAGGAGGAGGAGGAGGAGGAAGAGGAGGATTGATATGAGGAGGGGCTTGGCGGTTTTCGGCGCGCTGCTCCGCTGCGCCCTACTCCTGTTCCTCCACCCAACCAGCCGATCTCTGTGCCCAGGGGCTGTGTGGGCCTTGGAAGAGGGGGGCGAGGCGGATGAGGACGCAGAAGATATGGCGGAGGAGGTGGAAGAAGAGCAGGCGGATGGGAAGGGGGCGGGGGAGGAGGAAAAAGAGGAGGAGGCGGAGGAGGAGGAGGAGGAGAAGGAGGAGGAGGAGGATGAGGAGGAGGAGGAAGAGAGGGGGGTGGAGGAGGAGGAGGAGGAGGAAGAGGAGGAAGAGGACGAGGACGAGGAGGACGAGGAGGAGGAGGAGGATCAGGAGGAGGAGGCGGAGGAAGAGGAGGAAGAGGAGGAGGAGGAGGACGAGGAGGAGGAGGAGGAAGAAGAGGAGGAGGTGGAGGAGGAGGAGGGGGAGGACCAGGGTAAACCCAACAGTCGTCAACGATGTTGGAATTAACCCTCCCTCCAAGCTCTCTCTTCATAGGCCCCTACAACGATTCAGTTGCATTGAGGGAACTGCTTCGTTGGAAGACAGCCGCGTGAAGACCCTGAAGCATGCCAACATTTGTTCTCGGGGTTCAACGCCACGGATCAATGTGAATTCCAGTCTTGACGATCCGGAATCGTGCCAGAACGCCATCTTGGAATTTCAACACCGCGAATCAACATAACTGTTGCACCCGCACAATCCTGAATCCCTCCGAAACGCCATTTCTGGTATGTTGATCATGGGCATCCGTGAAACGCTTTTATTTTTTAACGAATGTGCGCGGCGCCAAGGCGAGAGCCACATTTTGAAAAGGAGTCGCCCTCAACCCGTGAAGCTCTTGCACATTTCTTTAACCGACGATGCGCGGCGCTGAGGGGATAGCCACATTCTGAAAACCACCCGCCCTCATTCCGTGAAGCCCTGGCAAATTTTCAATTTGAATGCGCGCGGCGCTACGGCGAGAGCCACATGTTGGAAACGGCCCGCCCTTGATCAGTGAAACTCTTGCATTTAAGAAAAATGTACGCGGCGCTGAGGCGAGAGCCACATTTTGAAAACCACCCGCCCTCAATCCGTGAAACTCTTTGCGTGTTTTCACAACGAATGTGCGCGGCGCTGAGGCGAGAGCCACATTTCGAAAACGACCCGCCCTCAGCCCGTGAAACTTTTATGCATTTTAAAACGAATGTGCGCGGCGCTAAGGCGCGCGAGAGCCACTTGTTGAAAACGGCCCGCCCTCAATCCGTGAAGCTCTTACGAATCTTTAAAACGAATGTGCGCGGCGCTAAGGCGAAACCCACATTTTGAAAACCACCCGCCCTTCATCTGTGAAGCTGTTGCCATTTTTTAGTCTTCAGAGCCGTGAGTGGTGAGGCAGTCTCAGGCGAAACGCCCGGCCCGTCCTAAAAATGGGCCTCGGGGTGCGACAGGGAGAATTTATTTATAAGGAAAGGAATGGAGGAGGAGGAGGAGGAGGAGGAGGAGGAGGAGGAGGAGGAGGAGGCGGAGGCGGAGGCGGAGGCGTTGGCGGAGGAGGAGGTGGAGGCGGAGGCGGAGGCGGAGGCGGTGGCGGCCGCGGCGGCAGAGGAGGAGGCGGAGGAGGAGGAGGTGGCGGAGGAGGAGGAGGAGCAGGAGGAGGAGGAGGAGGAGGAGGAGGAGGAGGAGGAGGAGGAGGAGGAGGAGGGAGAGGGGGAGGGTTTGAATCGACCTTTGGCGATTTCATTCGTTGACATATTCGCTCCATCCATCGCCATTTGGCTGCAGGCCCTCCCTGCGGGACCGCAGGAGTCCCAGGCCCTAGAGGCCCCGCCTTTCTCCCTCACTTCCAACCACCATTCAATTGAGCCCAATACCGTCCACTTCCTACTCTCTCTCATATCGTCGTGCTGGTGCGTGCGTGTGCTTGTGGCGCTGAAGGATACGGAGCGCCAAGAGGAAAGCGAGAGTTGCCCGAGGTGCATCCAGGGAGACGAGGAAGTGTACCCTGTGAAGCTTCGCTTCACAGAGGGGGAGGGGGAGGGGAGGTGGAGGAGGGGGGAAAGGAGGGAGGGAGAGATGGCGGGAGGAGGAGGAGGAGGAGGAGGAGGAGGAGCACGAGGAGGAGGAGGAGGAGGAGGAGGAGGTGGAGGAGGAGGAGGAGGAGGAGGAGGAGGAGGAGCAGGAGGAGGAGGAGGAGGAGGAGGCGGAGAAGGAGGAGGAGGAGGAGGAGGAGGAGGAGGAGGAGGAGGGATGACGAGGAGGAGGAGGAGAAGGAGGAGGAGGGGGAGGACCTGGTGGAGGAGGAGGAGGAGGAGGAAGAGGAATGGCGTAGTGGTTTTCGACGGTTATCCATGTTTGTCGCTGGGGTCGGGAGGGGGGGTGGGCCAGTGGCTTACCACACGATTCGGTGACACATGGTCCTTGTGAGGTCGTTCAGAGTGTCCAAACCAGTAGGCATCCACCACCAAGCAGCGATTTTGGGATTATGGGGGCGGTAGTGGTGCTCGAGTTTCTCTGCGCGCATTTCTGGCGCGTTCGCAGGTCAAGGCGGCGTACTTCCAGGTCGACCTCCTATTTGGACCCGTGAACGTCGTATGGTGGAACTGGATGGATTTGGTTATTGTCGTTAGCGGGGCACTGGAGCAGTGGTTGATGCCGCTGCTCACGTCCACCGGCCTGCCAGGGGTCAAGCTGAATTTGACTGGGATGCGGGCCTTGAGGTTTCTGCGCTTTCTACGCGTTCTCCGGGCCCTTAAGCTCGTTCGCGTGTTCGTGCAAGGGGACTTCGGCTGGGTGCAGGGCACCACGTACGAGATCGTCGGGACACCGGTGGGCCACAAGAACCGTGCAATCCAGGTCGATTCGGAGGCGATCTGGAGCACGGGGATGCCAGGCAGCGCTAAAGGCAGGCGGTTCTGGCCCCGTCAGAGGGACAGATGATGTGACTGTTGACTCCTCGGCGGCGTTCAGGATGGTGGCCAGGCCAGGGGGGGGGGACATCGTGAGAGGGCATCCCGCCTTTCCGAAGTCCTCCCGCCGCATTCCCAGAAGGTTCCTCGGAAGTCCTCCCTGGACGTGCGGCTCAGAACCATCGCACAGGGGGTCTGGCGCTGGGCCGCGTACGTTGCAAGCCACCCATCCGATGAACCCAAAGACCACTGAATTGCGAAGGCCTTACGGCCAGTGCCGCCGACCCTGAAGATGAGGACGCTGACCACGACGAGGTAGAAGGAGGAGAAGTAGGACGAGCAGGGGGAGGAGCCGCATGAGGAGGAGGAGGGTGAGGATGATGGGGAGGAGGAGGTGGAGGCAGAGGTTCAGGGCAGGGCGATGGACTCAACGACCATTGAATTGGGGTCTTTTTTTCTGGACGCGAAGCAACGTGATTATCGGCAACACGGCGGCCACCGCAAACGGTGGGATATCGCCGTACGAACGTTCCCACATACTTTGTATACGGGGATTGGTGAGGAGACTACACGTAACGACGCCAGAGAAGCCATCCAACCACGACGTATCACCGCTGCGACAGTAACGATGTGAGATGGGATGCCGTCGCGACTGACACGGAGAAGTGGATTTCACTCGAGATAGCATTTCTCGCGTACGCCAGTTGGCTGAGCAGACTCACGCACCAACAGCATCAGCACCGCTTTGCCTTGCCCTCCAGGACCGACTACCTCCGACCACCAGCACCGACAGCAACCGAACAGTACCACCAGCACAAGACAGCGACCTCCCCCAGCCACCACTTGGTGATCGTTTTCTGATTCATTGTTTTGCCGATCGGCGCGTGCCCTCGCACTCCCCCTTCCCCCCCCATGGAGTAGATCTTGGCTGATTTTGGCGCCTGTTTCTAGCAGGTGGGGTCTCCCACATAGGACGCAGTGTTGCAAACAGTCGCATTAAGCAGAGGTCCAGAGCCAGACCCCTCCCTCCCCGTCCCCCTTCCGCCCAATGTCGAAACGCCGAACAACACATCGCTCACCTGTAGCACATGTAGCCAAACGCCGACCACGCCGACCCAGTCTTGATATAGTCCGTGCGCTATCTGATGGCCTTTGGCCCATCCCGCCACTGCGCCTGGGTTGTGGGTCAGGGTTCTCAGGGATGCTTCTTCGGGTCTCCTCGGAGCGCTCTCGGGGGCCCTTGAGAGCAACTGTGGGCCTCTTGGGAGCCTCTTGGGGGCCTCCTGGGGGCCTCTTGGGGCATCTTGAAGGCCTCTTGAGTGCCTCTTGGGTGTCTCTTGGGGGCCTCCTGGGGGTCCCTCGGGGCCGAGGGCTCGAAATGTCCCGTGGGTTCCCCATCTGGGCCCCCTCTTGGGGCCGTCTTTGGGCCCTCCTGGGCCGTCTTGGGCGCCTCTTGGGCTGTCTTGGAGCGTCGGGAAACCGAAAGGCGAGAACGCTGGAATCCTTCAAAAACCTTTGGATAACCCATGAGTTCTGCCTCTTGAGGCCCTCTTGGGAGGCCTCTTGGAGGCGTCCGCACCAAGGCTGAACCCAAACGGTGTTTTTTCGTTTTCGTTTTGGTTTCGTTTGCCCTCGCTTTCGTCTCGAATCCGCCTTCACCGCAAACCGAAGTCGAAACGAAAACGGCCCACGAAATCGCCAAAAACACAGCTTGTGTCCATCCCTGGTCCGCTCGGGCCGAGCGAAAGGGGGGGATAGCAAAGGGGGGGTTTGAGAATCAGCTCACGTAGCTGATTTTCCCGGCGCCTCCCGCATGCAGCAAATTTCGCCCCCCCCCTTTCCCAATCCCCCCCTTTCGCCCGGCCCGATCCGCACCCAACGGCGGATTGCCCCTTCGCCGCACGTGCTGCGCCGCCCTCCTGGGCCCTTTTGGGAGTGCCCTCTGCGTCCATGTCTGGGCCCTGCTGGGCGGGGCCACGGTCCGAGCCGCCCACGGGGCGCGCCCCGGGAAGGCCCCACGAGGCGACGCCCGGGAGGGCCCCACACGGCGCCCAGGAAAGCCAGGCGTTGGACCCGGCAACGTCCAGGAGGGCCCGGCGGCGCCCGGGAGACCGCGGGTCGGGAGCCTTGAGACGGGGGTCAGTGCAAACGGGGGTCAGCCAGGGCGCCAGATCCTGCAGGATCCTGCGAAGGCCCCCTCTGGCTGACCCGGGTTTGCGAGCCGCTCGTGGCCGCGAGGCGGCCGCGCATATTGGCTGACCCGGGTTTGCGAAGACCTGCGTTGCAGTTTTTTCCCTACCTAGGCTCTGCCTAGAAGGGTTCTTACTCTCTTTGCTTAAAGGGCCGGGCAATGGAAACCGCCCCGGGCGGTTCCCCCAGTCCCCGCCCCGCGGTTCCCCCAGTTGCGCCCCCTGGGTTCACCCAGCTTAGCTTAGCTTCAGCTTAGCCTTAGCTTAGCTTGAGCTTAGCTTTAGCTTAGTTTTAGCTTAGCTTTAGCTTAGCTTTAGCTTAGCTTCAGCTTAGCTTTAACTTAGCTGTAGCTTAGCTTCAGCTTAGCTTCAGCTTAGCTCTAGCTTAGCTTTGCTTAGCTCTAGCTTAGCTTCAGCTTAGCTTCAGCTTAGCGCTAGCTTAGCTTTAGCTTAGCTCTAGCTTAGCTTCAGCTTAGCTTTAGCTTAGCTTCAGCTTAGCTTTAACTTAGCTTTAGCTTAGCTTCATCTTAGCTCTAGCTTAGCTTCAGCTTAGCCCTTTCTTAGCTTTAGCTTAGCTTTAGCTTAGCTTTAGCTTAGCTTTAGCTTAGCTTCAGCTTAGCTTCAGCTTAGCTTCAGCTTAGCTTTAGCTTAGCTTTAGCTTAGCTTCAACTTAGCGTCAGCTTAGCTTCAGCTTAGCTTTAGCTTAGCTCTAGCTTAGCTTTAGCTTAGCTCTAGCTTAGCTTCAGCTTAGCTTTAGCTTAGCTTTAGCTTAGCTTCAGCTTAGCTCTAGCTTAGCTTTAGCTTAGCTCTAGCTTAGCTTTAGCTTAGCTCTAGCTTAGCGTTAGCTTAGTGTTAGCTTAGCTTTAGCTTAGCTTTAGCTTAGCTTTAGCTTGGCTTTAGCTTAGCTTTAGCTTAGCTTTAGCTTAGCTTCAGCTTAGCTTTAGCTTAGCCTTATCTTATCTTTAGCTTAGCTTTAGCTTAGCTTTAGCTTAGCTTTCTCTTAGCTTTAGCTTAGCTTTTTCTTAGCTTTAGCTTAGCTTTACTGTTACTACTAATGCTGCTTTCCTAGGGGCTCCAACTCCTAGGTAGGGTCGCACTGGGAGAATTTTCCTGCATTGCAGGTTTTGGTTTCCTGCTGACCCGGGTCTGGATTGACCCGGATCAGAAGATCCCCGAGCGGGTCCCGGCCCTTAACAAGAGCCTTTGAGCCCTGGGACCTCTCGGGGCTGCAGGAGCCCTGGGGCACTCCGCCGCGTGCTGAAGGCACGGTGGCGGATTTGTTTCCACGCCTTCTGCCACAAGGCTCCGCGGGTTAGGCTTGCTGCTCCCTGCTCCAGTTCCAGTTTCAAGTCTCCATCTGATAGTCCTGCGTTCTGCTTTCTATTGTGAATTTTTGAAGTCCGCGCGAGGGGGGGGAGCTGAAAAGGGCTCTTGTTACCACCACCTGGTGTTCTCAGAGTTTGTGGAGGGTCCTGGGACACGTGCAAGTACATGATACTCGCGTCCCCCAAGCCATGATCCCTTGCAGAAATTACATCATATTCGCGCCCCCGAGGCCATAATCCATTGACAATTATACAACATTCGCGTCCCAGAGGCCATACACCCTTGCTTACGCTGTGTTCGCGGTCCCGAGACCATAATCTTGAGTAAATTACGCGATATTCGCGTCTCCGAGGGAATACTCCCTCGTCAATGACGCAATGTTTGCGTCCCCGAAGCCACGATCCCTTGTAAATTGCATGTCTTCGCGTCCCCGAAATCATAAACCTTCGTACAGTACAGTACGCAGTATTCGCGCTTGCGAGGCCACATTCCTTCAGAAAAGGCCCCCAAGAGGGTACAAGAGGCCTCCAAGACGGCCCAAGAGTGCTCCAAGGCGCCCCAGATGGTCCCAAGACGGCCCAAGAGGCTCCCAAGAGGCCCCCAAGAGCGCTCCAAGAGCACCTCCAAGAGGGGCCCAAGGGGCCAACATCTGCGAATTTCCTTCGGTGTCGGATCGATTTTGGCACGCTCCTATCTCCGGTGGCCCCCGTTCGGAGTTCCGACGCTGCTTCACGACGGTGCCTCACAGCATGGCTCTTGCCCACCCCATTCTCCGAGAGAGGGGCTGGCGGCAGGGGGCGAAGCCCTTACGGATAAGGGCCTTTTGGGCGCAGGTCGGGAAAGTCGCTGCGGAGCTGGGCGTCGATGCGAGTGATGCTGTGGCATGGAGAGCTAGAGTAGTTCAGTTCTGCACGAAGTACCCATCGGTCGTTGAAAGTAGGCATTTTCGGAGTCCCAGATTCCAATCTGCCTTAGCCGCCTTCCTGCTTCAATAATCGAGTGGCTTTCCCCTTCCCTCCCCTTCAGAGGCGGGCGGAAACCCAATCTGCCTTCCAACGCCCTCCTGCTGCATGTTTCTGCCTACTTCTTCCGACTGATGGATAGTTAAGTGCACGAGTCCACGCGCCTAGGGCGTATGACTCTTCGTTCGCTCGTTCGTTTAGGCTTAAGTCGGGCCTGTCCCTCTACAGGAGGAATATTCAAAAATAGTCGAAATAGCCTGGGGATAATAGCATGTTTTTACATATTCTTAACATGTTTTTGAGTATTTTTAGTTTTTTCGACCAAACTCCGCGTGTAGGGGGACACGCCCTAAGCTTAGGCGCAGAGGGGGCTCCGTTTTTCGGGCCGCTTTGTAGGCCCATGTCGGGGAACCGAGGCTCGCCGTGACCGGGAGAACTCCTCTCCGCTCCTCCTCATGAGCGCCTCGCGCCAGCACGCCGACCGCATCTGCTCTGGGGCGTGCGCTGCGCCGTCCGCGCGCCTCCTGCTCGGCGCTCGCCTCGAGGCTGCGGCCCCGCGCGCCCTCCCGGACGACACCCGACGGCCCGTCTCTTCTCCAGGCGGCGTGGCTCGTCGGAGGTCCCGGGCCTCTTCTGGGGCCCCCGCGCTCTCATCCCGAGCCGCTCGTCTTCACCGGCCCAGGGCCGAGCAAAGTGTTCCCCCTCGCTCGCTCGCTCGCTCAGCCGTGCATCCGGAGGGACGCGTCGGCAGACGCAAGGTTGCGCCGTTGGCAACCGAGTGGAAGGGGAATTCTGCGCTCCCAGATGGGGTCCGAGTAATCAGATGGGGTCGAAGGGTCGCGCCGCATCGCCGATGCATCGGCGACGCGACTCGATGTGGAGGCCGACTCGCTCCACGTCGACGTCGCCGATGCATCGCCGTCGACGATGCACCGCCGATGTGTCGCCGACGCATCGGCGATGCATTGGCGATGCGGCGCGACCCTCCGAGCCCGTCTACTCGGGCCCCATCTAGGAGGCCTCCAGAAACGTGGGAGCCGAGGCACTCCGTCGGGCACCCTTCGCGGCGCGTGGGCGTCAGGTCGGGGACCGCCCGAGAGACAAGGCCACACCCGTGTCGCTCCTCAGAAGCCTCCGAGCTCCTGCAAGATTCCCCCCCCCCCGCCCCCTTCTTTCGCAGGCCCAGAGGTTGACACCAACACCAACATCGGCGGTGTCCCTCCACCGAGGGGAAAAGGGATCCCGACCTCGGTGACGGTGGCCATGCTTCTGGCTTCCAGGGTGACCGAGGTAGTACCACCAACACCGACGTCTGGGATCCTCCTCCCCCCCGTGGAGGCAACCTCCCTGTGTTGGTGCTGGTGCCCCTTTCTGGGCCTCCAGTTCTGCCTCGCCGCCCTCCCGCCCCACCCCCCGCCGCGCGCCGCCAAGGCTTTCTCTCTCTTGGGACGGGGCGCTCCCACCGGACCAACCCTGACAGATCCTCGCCTCCTCGAAGCCCAGAGGAGACCTGGCCGCTCTGCTCTCCTCGATGCGTGGGCCCCAGAGGTCCAGGCCACTTCCCTGCCGGCTTGTCACCCCGAGTGTTTTTTTGGGTGCTCCCGAGGCCCGGCGAGTGCCCCCCCCCGGGAGGCCGAAAACTGCCCGAATCCCGCCGCTCCAATTTTTTCTGGAGCGTCGGATCCTTTGGATAACCACGACGGCAGCTTTTTGGGGTACTTGTCGGTCTGAGGTCTCGACGTAGGCTGCAGGAGGCCTCCGAAGGCCTCCGAAGGCCTCCGGCGGTCCAATCTGGATTTTGTTTCCGCGTTTGCGTCGGCGCTGATGCGTCCGCGGTCGAAATTTGGCGTAATCTGGCTCAATCTTGTTTTATATGTTCAGTCCAGCTTCGGGCTTACCCCTCGGTTTGATCCTTGGATCAATTTGGCCTAGGTCGGCTCAGGGGCGCCTCAATCGGGCTTAGTAGTGCGCAGTCGTTCCCACGAGCACCTCCTGGGAATTGTCTCCTGGTGTTTCTTCCTGTCCTCACAGGCGATTTTTCTCCCCAAACCCCCGACGTTTCGACGAGAAGCGAAACCGCTCAGAAAAGGAGGGGAACCCTGGGATGCTCCCCGAGGGGTCTACCCAGACGCACCCCCATGGAGGCTGGACGCCCCCCCCTCCATCGTATATCCCAGGGCCAGACCCCACATTTTTTTCGTCCGGTCGAGAACCCCCCAGAGTCCGGGATGGGGGTCGACGTATCCCCTCTTATTCACCACCCTCCAGAGCACCCCAACCCAACCCGAAGGCCCCGATTTGCCCCCCTTTCCAGTGTGGGGGGGGTCGGGGAACATTGACAAAACACCTATGCAGCCCGTACCCCCCCAACCCGAAGTTCGGGGTCCTCGGGTTGGGGTTGGGGTGGCTTGGTACAGTCGGGGCCCTGAAGAAGGAACCCTTTTCGTTGGGGAGGGGCTCCGCGTTCCTTAAGTGTTTCTCAGGGTTTTCCGTACGTTTTCGATAGGAGATCGAAGTTTAACTTCATGGACAAAAAGGGGCCTCGTGCCTTATTTAGGGTTCCTTAGGTCAATGCCCCGACTGTAGGTAGTCCGTGATACCCCCCCCCCGAGGACGGTGATCCTCGGGGTGAATTCGCTCACCATGGCGGTGGAGCTCGACAACGCCGGGTGGCCGTGGTGGTCTCTCCTGAACGGCGCGTCCGGAGGGCTGCGCCCCCCGTGGGATTCCGCGGCCCGCGTGAGGAGGAGTAAAACGACGCGAAGATCGGGACAAAATCGGATCGGGATAATTCGAAATCTCTGAGAATCGGCGGGTTTGGAGGATGTATTGGGCGCCGAGGCCGCTCCAGAGCGTTCTGGAACGCTCTGAGAGCGCTCCGGAACGCTCTGGAGCGATTTGTCCTGATCCTAGCCCTGTTTTAAGGAGGCGGGGGGTGAAAAGAGGGGGTGATTTTTGGGATGGGTCTGGAGGGATGATGTTCAAGGCAGGCCAGCGGCCGTTTTTCCTTTGTCACCTCACTTGCTGCCCTCCGCTCCCATCTTCCCGCTTATCTCGCTTCTCACCTTGTCCCTGATGCGCCCCCACCTCCCCACAGGGCTTAGCCGTGGGAAGGTGGCAGGGCAGGTTTGCAGATACCAGGCACAACCCGATCTATTTCGAGTCAGCCAGTCAGGGTGAAAAGAGACATCGTATTCTTTCAGGCCGACAGTCAGTCAGTCAGTGAGTCAGTCAGTTCAGGCCTACATCGAAGGAGAACAAAACTCCATAAACAGAAACTCTTGGCGCTCCGCGCCGGTTCCTTGGATCCGCGCTGAGCCCTCCCTGGCGGCGCGCGCTCCGCCCGCCAGGGAGGGGGTCCAGCGCAGACCGTAGAAATCCGCGCGGAGTGCCAAAAGTGTGTGCTGATGGCGTTTTGTCTTCTTCTTCTTCTTCTTCTTCTTCTTCAGTTCCTCCTCCTTCTTCTACTACATCTTTTGCACTTCTCTCTCTGGCTCTGTCCTTTTTACTTACCTTAATTTTTTGTCATTGCCAAACGCTACAGGTTTGGTTCTTGAAATTCACTTGACGTTGACATGATCGACCCACGAACTTGGAAATTGATTTAGAACTGCGAAGCATGGGCGCGTTTCCAAGCACCTAAATTGGGCGACGGGCAGTGGCAATGGTAAAGGTATCAATGATGATGATGATGGTGATGATGATGATGATGATGATGATGATGATGATGATGATGATGATGATGATGATGATCATGATGATGATGATGATGATGATGATGATGATGATGATGACGATGATGATGTATTATGCCAGTGGCTGCATTATGCTGTTCTGCGCTGTGCCGCGCCGCATAGTGATGTGTCAAGGACGTGCCACAGAACATAAAAGTGGAAGTGCCAGGGGACGCGCCAGGGGACATGCCGCATTGAATTGTGCCGTGCGCTATTGCACTGTGGGTCAAACCGTCCTCGGCGTCAGAATCCAGAACGACATGATTTGGATGCTCAGCTCGAGCTGTCTGAACGCATAGCTCGGGCGAGTTGCAATCGAAACGCGCGGGGCGCTCGATCAGCTGGAGCTCCAGATCCGATTCGGTTCCGCAGCCCTCGCTCGAGACACCCAGACATGGAGCCAGACGACCACACGCTGGGTATCTCCCTGTGCAGCCTGGGCGCGTGAAGAGGTAGGTGGTTCCAGTTCGGGACAGCCATACTCGCCGTGGGCGGCTTGGACAGCCATGCCCCCCGTGGGCGGCCTGGGGCAGCCATGCTGGATACCGCCCTGGGTGGCTTGGACACGTGAATACACGTGGCCCCGGCTCGGGACCACCATTCTAGATATCCATTTGGGTGTCGTGAACACGTGAAAACACATGGCTTCAGCTCGGGAGCATCATGTTTTAGAGCCCCGGGGGAAAATCTGGAAGGGGCGGAACACGCGGGAGGAGGTTCAGAAACTCAGAATCCTCGTAATTGTTGCGTTCTGACGGGGTGCGAGGGTGGCAACATGCGGGAGGAGGTCCCGAGGCTCAGAATCCTAGCAACCGTCGCGTTCTGGAGGGGGCGGAGCACGCGGGAGGAGGTCCCCAGGGCCACGTTCCCCAGTAAAATGCTATGTGTTCAGGCTCCCTAAACCACCTGGGCATTCTGGGGCGCCCAGGCCGCTCAAGTTCTGCAACACAAGCGCTTCCTTTGAGACATCTTCAGCTATTCGGCGCGCACGGCGCGGCACTCTCGAGCGGGCATGCAACAAGTCTATTTCTTATCCATTTCAGGCAAATTTAAAGCCTCCAGACCTTCTGTTTCGTCGCGGATTCTGCGCAAAACGCCCCGCCCCGTCGTTCCACGAGGGAAAACGAAGGTCACCTGACCTCGTTATTCATCGCGGATCCCACATGGGTCGTTTTTTTTCCTTGGGCGAGCACGCGCGAAACGCATTTTTTCCACTCCGAATTTGATTTTGCGTGTTTTTCATCGAGAGGAAACTCGCTGGCCCTCTTCAAGTCGATTCTGGGGGTAAACCAACCAAAAGAGAACTTTGCGCCTATGCCCTTTCCAGGAACAGTATATATTTTGTTGTGTTATTTGTCGCAAGTAATTCCGCCGGCCCTCTTCAAGTCGATTTCGGACCAAACCTACTAGAAGAGAACCTTGGGCCTCAGCTCTTTCCAGGAATAATTCCACCCTGCTGCACCCCGAGGCTGGTCGGAATGGTGGGCCGGGCGTTTCTCTTGAGACAGATGGAGGGCGGAGCGCTTCCAAAATGCGGCTCTCGCCTTAGCGCCGCGCACATACGCTTCAAACGTATGCAGAAGTTTTACGGATTGAGGGCGGGTGGCTTTCAAAAAGTTGTTCTCGCCTTAGCGCAGCGCACATTCTTTCCTACAACTTGCAAGAGTTGCGCGGATTGAGGGCAGGTCGTTATCAAAATGTGGCTCTCGCCCTAGCGCCGCGCACATTCGTTCTGAAACACTGCAAGAGTTTCACGGATGGAGGGTGGTTTCTTTTCATAATGTCGCCTTCGAAGTTTCACGGATCTCATTGTTAACGTACCAGAAATGGTGTTTTGGAACGGTGTCGGATTGTCAGGGCGCAACAGTTACGTTGATTTTCGGTTTTGAAGTCCCAGGAGTGCTGTTCTGGCACCATTTCAGGCTCGTCAATACGCAGCAGTACGGTTGATTCGTGGCGATGAAGTTCCAAGAATTGTTCTGGCGCAGTTCAGGATTTCAAATGGTTGTCGCCCAACGGGACACGTCCTTTAGAGAAGATGAATCCGTGTAGGGCCTTTGAAGATGGAGCTTGGAGGGAGGGTTTATTGCAACATCGTTGAGGAGTCTTGGGTTTACACTTGTCCTCCTTATCCTCCTCCTCCTCCTTCTCCTGCTCCTCTTCCTGTTTCTCCTCCTCCTCTTCTACGGCTCCCGTACCTTCCTGCTCAGTTTCGGCTCCCAGCCCGCCTGGCTGGCCAGCGCATAAGATCAAAAAGGCCCTTGCGGCTTACTTCTGTCGATTTCATGGCTCCGGGGCCCGCCTGCATGGTGTTCTTTCGCCACTCCTTGTGCAGTGCAGTGCATGTTCTCGAGAGGCTAAGAAATATCAGATTCAGTAGCGCTGGCTTTGCATCGGTAGCCCGAGCGTCACGGCAAGACTCCGCCCTCTGGCGCCGCATGCGCCGGCCGCAGCCCGTTCGTATCGCACAGCTTGCAGCACAGGCGACCAGTTTTCTGTTGCTGCTGGTTTTGGTGCTGCTGGTTTTGGTGCTCGTTCTGCTCAGTGTCCTTCGTCTTAGCTCCCACGACCGCAGCCGCAAACAATAGTCAGGGTTCTCTGGCGGTCTTCTGAAGAAGGTCCTCAAAGGTCATCTGGAATGTCCCCAGGGTGTCCCAGGAGGGAGACCTCCCAGCTCCCTGTTGCCTCCCCTGGCGCTGGGCCCTCACGGAGAGCCTTCCTGCACCACGTGCGAGCAGCGGATTTCTTGCCTTCTACACGTTTGACATACTCTGCAGACTGAAGTTTCAGGGCCTGGCGTTCTTTTATGACAGAGATACGCTTGGATGGAACTACCTTGACTTCATTCAAGTGGCCTATGCCGTTCCGCCGACCCCCACAAGTAGTGAGTGTGGTTGAGACGATCGTGGAAGTTGTATCTTGGGTCAGGCGCCTTCTGGATGAATCCGAGAGTCTCTTGGGATGTCTCTCTTGGGCCTCTTGGAATATCTCGGGGGCTCGTGGGCTCGCTTGGATGGAACTACCTCGACTCTATTCAATCGGGGGCAACGATAAGGGGGGGATAGGCATAGGGGGATGCAACGATCCTTAATCGCCCATTGATCGCCGATAGGGACCCGATAGCCCCACCCAACCCAGGAAGTGCGGAGCTGCTATCGGGGGCCTATCGCCGATCTATCGACGATGTATCGCTGATTCCAGATCGATGCATTCCCCCTGTGCCCATCCCCCCCTATCGCTGCCCCAGCCCGGCGGCGAACCTCCCCACCCCCCGCCCCTGGGCAAGACGCCAAGAGGTACCGACGTGCCGCTGCTCCCTGGACTTCTCGTAGGGCGCACTCTGACCAGCATTAAGTCGGGCGTGTCCCTCTACAGGAGGAATATTCCAAACTAGTAAAAAATCACCAGGGGACGATTTTTCCACTATTTGTTTGACTCTGTTTTGGGTATCCGTAGATTCTTTCGAGAAATAAATAAATGCTCGCGCCCAAAATCAGCCTGTAAGGGGACATGCCCGACCTAAAACCAGCATTTCGAGGTGACGCCGTCGTGGAGGAAATCGGGCTCCACATATCGAAGAGGAACAACGGCATACATGCAAACTTTTTGGCGTTCCACGCGGACCGCCGACAGTTTATGTTTACGCCGCTGTGTTTCTCTAGCATGACCGCCGCGTCGATGCGTCGACGATGCGGCGCGATCCTCGGATCCCATCTGCTGGGGGAGAACCGCAAGGTACCGATACTCCAGATTTCGTAATAAAGGGAGGGGGGTCTCATTTCGGGGGGGGTCTCTTCCAAGCTATCTTGGAGGGCCTGGGGGGGTCTGGGGACGATGTTTTGGAGGGTTCTCCCACGAGGGGGGGTCTGAAATGGCTTGTCCTGGAGAGTCCAGACCCCCTCCCTTTTAGTACGAAATCTGGAGTACTCCCCGGACCTCGCCCTGGGTGCGCTCTGACCGGGATTCCTTCGGGGCGGCTCCAGCGGTGGGCGACGAGGGCCTCCCGGGAGGCCCGAGCAGAGGGGGAGTCCGAGGCGAGGGCAGCCGCCAGGAGGCCTCCTGCGGGCTCCCCACCCTGGATCAAAAGTCGGGCGTGTCCTTCTGCAGGGGGAATATTCAAACATAGCTAAACATTGTGTGAGGGGACGATTTTTTGAATATTCTTGAGCACTTTTTTGGGGTTTCGAACATCACATTCATTTGTTGGACAATTTGTTTCGCTTCTGCACGGGGTGTTAGGAACTCTCGTCAAACGCTTCGGGATTCCCAGCTTGCCCCCCCCCATCACTTCGCGATGGGCTCAGATGCCGGTCTGGGTCCTCGTGGATGGAGCGGGGCACCCCGTGCTGCTTCTAAAGTTCAACATCGAGCGCCCAGCCGATGCGCCGTTGGGCAGCGCGGGGCTCTGGCACGAAGGGTTCCCCACCGCGGGGGTAAACCCCGCACGGGTTCCATCGTGGTGCGGGGCCCAGGCGCGAGGGCAGCTTCGTTCGGGAACACCCGAGCGATGTGAGCCCCTGCCCTGAGCCGCCGCCCCGTGGACCCAGTGTGGGCGTAAGGGCTGGGCTCGCCATTGGTCGCGTGCAGGACCAGCTTCGGGCCAACGGGCTGCCGAAGCTCGCGTCCCTCCTCACCCTCGATGGGAAGGAGGTGGCCGTGGGCCAACTCGGCGGCCGCAGGCTCGCAGTGGCCCTGTACCTGGCCAGGCCGCATCCATACGGAGAGAGGCTCCATGTGGCGCTCTTCGAGGAGCTGGGGGGGGGGCTCGCGCAGTGCCGTGCCGCGCCGCGCCGCGCCGCGCTGCGTCGTCGCGCGCCGCGCCGTGCCGTTCTTTGCCGCAGGTAAGGGGGGAAGGGGGTGGGTGGATGGCGCGGGGGTGGAGCGCGGAGGAGCGACGGTGGGTCCCCCCCATGAGCAGATCATCAAGGCCTCGTCCTCCTGGCTGAAGTGGGTCAGCGAAAGCCTGGCGGTCCTCGTCGAGTGCCATCTCCACGTCTTGAACGAGCAGGCGCGACGACGACGACGACGACCGAGTCGCGACGACCGAACGCACGTGCAGAACAGCGGCGGCGAAGGCGACCGAGGCGCACCCCCCCCCTCACTGGTCCGCCGCCGTCGGCGTCGGTGTCGCCGTCGATCGTCGTCGTCGGAAGCGGCGGCGTCGCTGCCGCCACCGACGCCGTCGCCGTCGGTGGCCTCGTCGTTGGCGTCGGCGCCAGGGCGCGGAGGCGCTGAATTCCGCGCGCGAGACGCGCCGGTGCGAATTCTTCGCCCGCGCGGCCGACCAGGAGGCCGCTCGGGCCGCCTCCTTTCGCGCCCCCCCCCCCCCCTCATTCCACAATGCGCGCTGAGGCCGGTGCCGTGTCGTGCCGCATGCCGTGCTTCGCCGTGCCGTGCCTTGCTCGTGCGCGCGCCACGCCGTGCGTGCGCGCGCCGTCCCGTGCCGCCGCGTCTCGGGCCGTGCCGCGCTGCGCCGCGTGGCGCCGCGCCGTGTGCGCGCGTGCGCGCTTGGGGTTCGCCTGAGCCTGCGCGATGAAGAGACCGGCGCCGCGGTGTGCGGCCTGCCCTTGGGGGGGCGCGCCCGGCTCGACGGCGTGGGCGCCGTTGTCCTCTTCGGAGGGGCGCGCGATCGGGCCTCCGAGCCATCCCTCGGCGGCGAGCCCGGGGGGGGGCGAGAAGGAGAAGGTCTTTTCAGAAGGCTCGGAATTCCCAAGGCCTTTCGAAAATTGTCCCGGGCTCCTCCCCGAAGGCGCGGAACGCCTCTCGGAAGGCGCGAGGGTTTCTGGGAAGCTCCGCCGCCTTCTCAGACGTCGGCCTTCTCCTTCGCCTCTCCCCCGTCGCTCGCCGCCGATCCTGCCTTCTCTCCCGCCTTGGCCTCCTCCTCCTCCACCCCCTCCTCCTCTTCCTCCTTCTCCTCCTCTTCCTCCTCCTCTGCCTCCTTTTCTTCCTCCTCGTCCTCCTCCTCCTTCTCCATTCCTTTTTCTTCCGGGGACCGGCCGAAACCCCAGTGAGTTTTCTAAAAGAACCAACGCCGTCTAGGATCTAGTACGCCAGGCACCCCTGTGATAAATCAACAAGGGGGCGGCGGATCGTAGACGCCTACGGCACATCACCGCCGCCCCCTGCCCTTGTGGAAACGCTTATGTGCCCAACAGCTGGGCTAGAGCTTGGCCAAGCTATCGGACCACGTGTTCCCCGAGTCGGTTTGGAAAAGGTTTCGGGGAACGGGGGGGGGAGAAGGGGAGGAGGAGGAGTATGAGGACAAAGGAAAAGGGAAAGGATGCGTCTTCGGCTCTTCGGAGCCTCTTGAGGCACTTTCTGGCTCGATTTGGGCCATCTTGGGACCGTCTTGGAGCCCATGCTGGGGCTATCTTGGGCTCTTATGGGGCCTCTTGAGGGCCTCATGGGGTCATTTTGGGGCTTCTCGGGGGCATCTTTGGCCGTCTTATGGCGCTCCTGGCCCGTCTGACGCCGTCGGGAGCCGTTTTGGGGGCCTCCCTGAACCGACTTGGGGCTCTCTTGGGGCGCTTCGGGTCCATCTTGGAGGCCAGCTTAGCCGTCTTGGAGGCCTCTTGGGCCGTCTTGAGCCCCCTTGGGGCCGTCTTGGGAGCCTCTTGGGCCGTCATGGGGCCATCTTGCAGGCCTCGTGGGCGATTTTGGGGCGATCTTGGGAGCCTCTTGGGCCGTCTTGAGTTCTTCGGAAGGCCGAAAAGAAGCAAATGCCAAAATCCTTCAAACACCCAGGGAACACCTATGATTTTGGCCTCTTCAGGCTTTCCTTGAGGACCTCTTGGGGGCGTCTTGGTGGGCTCTTGGGGGCCTCTTGGGCCGTCTTGAGCCATCTTGGGGCTATCTTAGGCCGTCTTGGAGGCATCTTGGGCCATCTTGGAGGCATCTTGGGGCCATCTGAGCCGTCTTGGAGGCCATGTTGGCCGTCTTGGAGGCGTCTTGGAGGCCATCTTGGGCCGTCTTGGACCCGTCTGGAGCAGGAAAACCGTTGGCAACCACCTCTGGGCAATCTGGAAGATCTTTGCGGGTGTGACGGGCCGAAGTCCCAGGGGGAGTTCTTTCGGGAAGAGAACCAAAACAAAGCCGAAAGGGTCTAGCACGCTGGGCACCCTTGTAATGAATCGACAGGGGGCGGCGGATCCTAGTGGTCTTCGGCCCATCCCGCCACCGAGCCTGGGTTGTGGGTCTGAGGCCTCTTGTATGTGTTGGGGTGTCGTGGGGACCCTCTTGGGGGCCTCTTGGAGGCGGTTTGGGCGCCTCTTGGGGGCCTCTTGGGGGCCCCTTGGGGCCTCGTGGGGTATCTTTTGGGCTTCTTGGAGGCCTCTTGGGCGCGTCTTGGGCGCCTCTTGGGGCCTCTTGTAGGAGATCGTGGCCTCGGTGGCGCGAGTGTGGAGCGATTTACAAGGGATCGCGGCTTCGAGGGCGCGAATATGGCATCGGGGGTGCGAATGTGGTGTAATTTGCAGGCGATCGTGGCCTCGGGGGCGCGAGTGTGGTGTAATTTACAAGGGATCGTAGCCTCGGGGGGGCGACGGTGGCGTAATTTACGCAGGATCGTGGCCCCTGAGGCGATAATATGGTGTCATGTGCGGGGGATCGTGGCCTCAGGAGCGTGAGTATAATGTATTTTGTAAAGGATGGTGGCCTCGGGGGCGCGAATACAGTGTAATTTGCGGGGGATCTTGGCCTCGGGGGCGCGAATACAGTGTAAGGGGATATTGTGTTGGGAGCGCGAATCTAGTGTATTTATACGTGTCCCACGCCTCCCAGAAATTCAGACAACGCGATTCGGGGACGCTAGCCGGGCGGTTTTCGGCTCCCCCCCTCGCGCGGTCAGTAATACTTTTCAGCAAGAAGTAGAAAGCGATACTGCAACATTGGGAACTCGAAACTGGAACTGGTGCAGGGAGCAGCGAACTCAATCCTCGCAGCCTGATGGTCCCGCAGCCTCTGCACGGCCATTGCTTCGGGAGGGACAGACAAAAAACAGACACCAACAGACGCAGATCTCCAGAAAGTTGCGGGAAAAGAGATGGGAAGAGGAGGGGGGAAGACGACATTCGAGACACTATGTGGAACTATGGGGAATGCTGGGATTTGGGTCTATTCATTTGTGTGCCGCTGGGCGCCTTTGATGCTGGCGAGCGGCTTATCGTGTGCGAGGGCGTCGTGGACCAGTGGGTCCTGCCCGTGGCGCACGCCTTGGTGGCAGTCGTCAGCGGCCAGCGCTCCGAGCACGACCGCCCCCACCCCGCGCGCGCCCCGCCCCGAGTGGCCGGCGCTGTCACCGCCGCCGCCGCCGCCGTCGGCGTCGTCGTTTGTTCGTCGTTTGTTCGTTCGTTTGTTCGGCGGTTCGAGGGTTTTGGGGTGTTTCTGGAGGTTTTCGCTGCCGCGTAGGACGCGCCCCGGAAAAGCGGTCGGAGGGGACCCATAGAAGGGCCCACAAGGTCTGATTTTGTGCGGATCTTCTAGAGTTGAGCATCGAGACGTTCGGTGGTTATTACGCAATTCCCTTGCTTCCCTCTCCCGCTCCCTCCTATCCTCCGCCTCCTTCTCCTCCTCCTACCGCTCCTTTTCCTCCTTCCCCCCTCTCCCTCCTCTCCTTCTTCTCCTCTCCGCACAATCCCACTCCTGGTTCGTTTCCTTTTCCTCCATTCCATTGTTTTCTCCTCCTCCTCCTTCTCCCCCTCCCCCTCCTCCTCCTCCTCCTTCTCCTCCTGCTCCTCCTCCTGCTCCTCCTCCCCCGCCTCCTCCCCCTCCTCCTCCTCCTCCTTCCTTCTCACCTCCTCCTCCTCCCTCCTCCTCCTCCTCCTTCCTCCTCCTTCCTCCTCCTCCTCTCCTCCTCCTCCTCCTCCCCCTCCTCCTCCTCCTCCCCCCCCGCCTTCTTCTCCTCCTCCTCCTCCTCCTCCTCCTCTTCCTCCTCCTCCTGCTTCTCCTCCCCCGCCTCCTCCTCCTACTCCTCCTCCTACTTCCATCCTCCACCGCCCCTTCTCGCGCTGCCCTCCCCCTCCCGGTTTTCTCTCATTCTCGTTCTCCGGCCGTGTGGCATTCGGTTCACCTCCCGCGCTTGCTCCGCCCCTGCAAAGGCTGTTGGGCGACGCGGCGTGTTCGGGGGAAGGCAGTCATGATGACACCCGTGTTGATTGCTGCTGCTGGTGATAATGACGTTGATGACGAGACATTGGCGATGATAATGATGATGCTGCTGATGATGCTGATGATGATGAATCTGCTGATGCTGATGATGATGATGATGATGATGATGATGATGGTGGTGGTGATGATGATGATGATGAGGCTGACGACGCCGAACGATGAACGATAAACGATTAACGATGAACGATGGATGATGATGATGCTGATGATGATGATGATGATGATGATGATGATGATGATGATGATGATGATGATGACGATGCTGATGATGACGCTGCTGATGATGATGAGGCTGATGATGATGGTGATTCTGATGATTACGAGGCTGATGATGATTACGATGCTGATGCTGCTGCGGATGATGATTATGAGGAGGATCAGGTTCATGAGGTTGATGATCATGTTGGTGATGATGATGACGATAATGCTGCTGCGGCTGATGATGGTGCTGCTGTTGATGATGGTGATGCTTCTGATGAGGTTGATGATGATGATGATGATGAATGATGACGATGCTGATGACGTTGATGATGATGATGCTGATGACGCTGATGAATATGCTGCTGATGATGATGATGCTGACAATGATGATGACCATGATGATTCTGATGACGATGCTGGTAATGCTGTTCATGATGACTTTGGCGATGCTGCTGATGATGTTGATGATGATGACACGGATGGTGCGACTGTTGATGATGGTGGTGACACGGTGGCGATGATGTTGATCATTATGACGATGCGGACAACGATGATGTTGAGGACTAGGACGAGGACAATAACGATCACGAGGACAGGACCAGGGCGAGGACGAGAACCACAACGACGACGACGACGAGGATGAGGATGAGGATGAGGATGAGGGTGATGCTGATGATAAAGATGAGGATGCTGGTGGTGATGGTGATGATGATGACGATCAGGATGATGATGATGCTGATGCTGATGATGATTGGGATGATGTTGCTGATGATGTTGCTGATGATGACGATGATGATGGTGATTCGGGTGAGGATGATGATGACGACGACCACGGCGACGATGGTACCCATGATGATGCTGATGATGATGACCATGACGATGACGATGCTGATGATGATTCGGATGATGATGACGACGATACTGATGAGGATGATGATGCTGATGATGATGATGATGATGATGATGATGATGATGATGATGACGATGTTGCTCCCGCTGTTGACGATGCTACTCATGCTGATGATGCTGACGATGACGATGACGATGATGATGATGATGATGATGATGATGATGATGATGATGATGATGATGATGATGATGATGATTCTGCTGCTGATGATGATGCTGCTGCTGATGATAATTATTGTGATGGCCACTCGCAGATTCCAGACGCTTCGCGTATCCCCACCAGCCAAGGGGACGGCCGCAGATGGATCCCCCCAGCGCACCCCTCCTTTGCTGTCCAGCTTGACAGCCGCCCGTTTTCGGTGGCAGGGGTCTGTCGTCTGAAATAGTCGCCCCCCAGCACGCCGCTCAGCCGGTACTTAGGCAGTCTGCAGCTCCAGCTATGTTGCGTAAGGCTGCGGCGCATGAACCCCCCCATGAGGCGCGTCCGACGCTGGCACACTCCAGCTCGGACCGCATCGGCGTGTTCTGCCACCTCCCCTCGATGTAAGTGTCTTCTGCGGCGGTTAGCTGCACCCCCCCACATGTGCAGATGTTCTCGGCGTGCAGCTGCTATCAAGTTACGTGTATCTTGCGGCGGTTAGCTGCGCCCCCCTTCTCCACTGCAAGGTGCACTCTGAGGGTGGCATCCACTACTGGACAACCAGGTGACAAGGGACGCCCCGGCGCTGCTGCAGGCTGGCCGCGGTGAGGGACGGCGCGCCTCCCGCGTGGCCCGGTGGGTGTCCCCCACTGTGCCTCACGGGTTCGCCCGCGGCGGCTGCGGAGGCCAGAGCGGTGAACCCGACGGACAGGCAGCTCGGAGGTCTCCCCCCCGCGGGCCGACCATCTGCGCTGTCTGCGGCTGGCATCGGTGGGCCTCTTCGCAGAAGGACGGCACTGTGGTGCTCGGGCAGTCGCTGGTGTCCACCGACACTGGGGGTTGTGTGCCTGAATGCCTCGCTTTGGGTGTTGCAGCCTGGTTCAGCCCGCGTTTTACGCATCGTCGCAACCATCCCCGGGCCTTCGCGCAGGCGCCGGTCTCGATGCGATGGGTGCCGCCGGCCCTCCAACTCTGCGGTGGAGTTCGAGGGCTGCGCGCTGAGTGGTTCAGCTTTCCGCGCCTTTTGTCCTAGTTTTCCACCGCCAGCAGCCTGCTCCCGGGCTCGTGCTTCGTTGCTAACCGGGTCGGCTGCTTGGAGTTTGGCGCCGTAAGGGCGACTCTTTTCGTTGCACTCGCACCCGTGTCCGCTTGTACACTTTGGTTTACTGGGCGGCGCCCAGGTGCGTCTGCTGGTGCATGCAGAGCATTTTGTTCAGTGCGTGTGCAACTGCACGCATGTTGTGCAATTAGCTTTGTGCCGCCCGCCCCGGACATTGCTTCTCGCCGCCAGACCGTTGTCGCGCGGCAGCCGACCCCCAAAAAATATCCCCACCAGCTTGTCAGACTGCACGTGCCCGAGCTTCCCAGGATGCCCCCAGCCGTCAGCTTCCCGCACAGCCCCGCGGCTGCTTGGTGAGTGGGCCGGCCGGCTAGCGGCGCGTTTTGTCGCTAATCAGCCTTGTTCGCTGCCCCGGACATTTGCTTTCGCCGCGTGTGCTTTTCGCTCGCGGCCGCGACCAAAAAAGTATCCCCACCAACGTGGCCCGGCTAGTCGTGGCCTGGCTAGAGTTTGGACGCCTTTTGACACGCTTCACGAGGCCGTTGACCAAAAAGTATCCCCGCCAGCCCATCCAGACACGATGTCCAGGCGAGTTGAGGTGATCAGGAAAGTGCGGGAGCAAAGAGGGGGGCGGCCGAACCGTGCGATGGAGGCAGGAAAAGGAGGAAGCTGGATGGATGGACGAGGAAGTGTGAATAATGAATATGACTAGGAGGAGGAGGAGGAGGAGGAGGAGGAGGAGGAGGAGGAGGAGGAGGCGGAGGAGGAGGAGGAGGAGGAGGAGGAGGAGGGAGGAAGAGGAGGAGGAGGAGGAGGAGGAGGGGAGGAGGAGGAGGAGGAGGAGGAGGAGGAGGAGGAGGAGGAGGAGGAGGGAGGAGAGGAGGAGGAGGAGGAGGAGAGGAGGAGAGAGGAGGAGGAGGAGGAGGAGAGAGAGGAGGAGGAGGCGGAGGAGGAGGAGGAGGGGAGGAGGAGAGAGAGGAGGAGGAGGAGGAGGAGGAGGAGGAAGGAGAGAGGAGGAGGAGGAGGAGGAGGAGGAGGAGGAGGAAGGAGGAGGAGGAGGAGGAGGAGGAGGAGGAGGAGGAGGAGGAGGAGGAGGAGGAGAGGAGGAGGAGGAGGAGGAGGAGGAGAGGAGGAGGAGGAGGAGGAGGAAAGGGGAGGCGGGAGGAGGAGGGAGGAGGAGGAGGAGAGTAGGGAAGGAGGAGGAGGAGGAGAAGGAGGAGGAAAAACAAAAGGAGGATGAGGACAAGCAGAAGGGCCAGAGGTCTCTTGGATGCCTCTCGGAGGCCTCTTGGGATGTCTTGGGGGTCTCTTGGCGGTCCTGGGGGCTCTTGGGCGTCTTGGGTGCCTTGGGGGGGCCTCTTGGGGGCCTCTTGGGAGCCTCTTGGAGGCCTCTTGGGCGCCTCTTGGGCCGTCTGGGCCCCTTTTGGGGCCCTCTTGGGGCGCTCTTGGGATTGTGAGCTTTGGACACTCTCTTGGGGCCATCCTGGAGGATATCGATCAAAGAAGGGGGGTTCTCCATTAGCGTTGCCCTTCGATAGCCCCACAAGTCGCCTTTTGGGGCGCTCTTGGGGCGCTCTTAGAGCGCTCTTGGGCGCTCTTGGGGCCGTCTTGAGGCTCTCTTGGGCCCCTCTAGGGGCCCTCGCGGGCCATCTTGGAGCCATCTTGAGGCCTCGGATGGCCATCGGAAGCAAAAAAAGGCGAGAAGGCACACATCACTGCTTTTCCCTAGGTTTTGGACGGATTTTGGCGTCTTGAAGGCCTCCTTGGATGTCTCGGATGCCTCTTGTAGCCGTCTTGGAACCTTCTTCTTAGATTTTCTTGGGGCATCTTGGAAGCCATCTTGAGGTATCTCGGGCTATCTTGGGCCATCTTGGAGGTCACCTTGGGCTCTCAGAGGCCCTCTGGAGCCGTCTTGGGCCGTCCTGCACGCTCTGACCGCTCGCGACCGCCCCCGTCTAGGTCCAGGGGCAGGGGTGGGGGGGAGGGGTAGCCCCCTCCCGAAGGGAGAGGAAAGCCTCTAGACCACCTACGCCCTCAAGGGCCGGTGGGATTTATGATGAGCATTCGGGGCATGATGATTTTCCCCTGATGCGGTCGCTGTTGTTCCTCTCCTCCCCTCCACCATTCCCTCCGCATCCTTCATCCTTTTCCAAATTCTTGACGCGCCGCGTTTCCCACCAGCCCACCCAAGTATCAGGGCGAAGGACCCAAGCAGATGCAGGCGTGGGTACCGTATGTCAGGCGGGATACAGGACGGGGAACTCCAGCTAAACACGTGTGATGGGGTGTGCCGATATGGAGGTGGGTACCGCATACAAGCCCTGCCATTGGGGCCTGCGGTGGAGCTCTCTGTGGGGCCACGAAACGGGTGAGGAGTGTGCCAGAATGGGGGCGGGTTGCGCATGCGAGCCCTGCCACTGGGGCCTTCTGTGGAGCTCCATGTGGGACCACGAAGCTTGTGACGGGTGTGCCAGAATTGGTGGCGGGGACGCATGCGAGCGGTGCCACTGGGACCTTCCCGGGAGCTCCCTCTGTGGCCACGGCGCGTGTGAGGGGTGTGCCGACACGGAGGCGGGTACCGCATGCGAGCTCTGCTAGTGGTGCCTTTCGGAGGAGCTCCCTGCGGGGCCACGGTCCGTGGAAGGGGCGTGCCGAAGTGGGGGCGGGCTCCGCAGGCGAGCCCCGCCACCCGGGGCCTCCGGTGGAGCTCCCCGTGGGCCCACGGCGCGTGCGGGGTGCGTGCCGACCTGCATGGGGGCAGGGGCAGAGAGTGCGGACGAGGAAGGAGGGGGAGGAGGAGGGGTGATGAGGGCCGGGTCCTGTTGGAGCGTTGGATCCGCGCGCGCGGCAAAACGGGCGGCCGCGCAGCGCTGCGCTTTCCCCGTTCTACGGGGGGCGGCGTGGGGATGGGGGCGAAGAGTGGTTTCGCTCTCGGGCGCGGCCGGGGGCAGGGTGGGGGGGCTGCACGGGCGCTGCTGAGCCAAAACCACCAGGGGAGCTGCCCTGACCAGGGACGAGTAGTAGCATGCGGTCACACTCTTCGGGCCCTGTCTGGGCCTCTTGGGGCCTTTTTGGAGGCCCTTCAGATTCTCTTGGGGCCCCCTTTTGGGGCTCTCTTGGGGCTCTCTTGGGGGGCTTTGGGGCCCTCTTGGGGCCATCCTTGAGGCCATCGATTGAAAGAGGGGGCACCCCCGTCGGGGCCCTCAAAGCCGCCTGTTGGGACCCTCTTGGGGCGCTCTTGGTGCACTCTTGGGCGCTCTTGTGGCCATCTTGGGCCCCTCTTGGGCCTCTCTTGGGGCTCTGCCTGCGACTGCGATAGTGACCAGAAGAGGGGTGTCATCTGACCTGTGGGGACCCCCCTGGGACAGCCCCGGGCCCCCCGCGGGACCTCCCCAGGACCCTGGCCCACCCCGCTGGGGGGGGGGAATGATCAAAGGGGAGGGGTTTCCCTTCGATCTAACGACTGCGATTGCGACCAGAAGAGGGGGGGTGTACTCTGACCCGGAGGGATTTTCTCCAGGACTCCCCCGGGACCCCCGCGGGACCTCCCTGGGACCTTGGTCTCTTAATTACCTGGGGGGGGGGGAACGGGATCAACGGGGAGGGGCTTCCCTTCGATTTAACTACGGCTGCGATTGCGCTGTCCCCCCCGCCTCCGGGTGGGGAAGGGATCAAAGGGAAGATGAGTAGGAGGAGGAGGACGAGGAGAACGAGGAGGAGGAGGAGGAGGAGGAGGAGGAGGAGGAGGAGGAGGAGGATGAGGAGGAGGAGGAGGAGGAGGAGGAGGAGGAGGAGGAGGAGGAGAAGGGGGGCGGGAATGGGGAACGAGCACCCAGCAACACCATCGTTAGACGTGTCCCCGTCCCCACTGCGAACGCCTTGGCCCCAGTGGCGGGCCTGCCCCTCGAGGCGAGGATTGATGCAGATGCCCTCTCGGTCGGGCTTCCTGGCATCCATCCCCGCCTCCAGGGCCCAGGCCGGCGGCGCGAGGGAACCCTGGCCCACTGGGGATGGGGACAGGTCTAGCGACGACGATGCAGTTCCGAGTTATCTCCGAGCATCTCTTGCCCTCCCGCAGGAGAGTACTTCGGCAATGGGCATGCTGAAGATGCTGAGGCTCCTGAGGATCCTGCGGCTGGCGCGTCTCTGCAGGACTGCGCGGCGTTTGAATTCCTCGCACGCCCCGGGGTCCCTCCCAAATAAGATGGCGAGGAGGAGGAGGAGGAGGAGGAGGAGGAGGAGGAGGAGGAGGAGGAGGAGGAGGAGGAGGATGTTGGAAGACGAAGATGGATGAGGGAGGGATGAAGGAGTCGGGAGCAGGATTCGATTCGGCTTCCCTTGGAAAGACCACGTTTGTACTCAGGATTTCATAATGTTTGCCAGAGTGGACTCCGAGCGGAAGGTTGTTGCATTGTGGAAGCGATCTCTACGCGGAGTAAACTAGGTGGTGTCAGGTATGAAGTGTGAGTTATGTGGAGTAATATCTGTGGTGTTAGCTATGTTGCGCAGGGTAGATGGTGTGACCTATGTGATGTAAGCTGTGTCGTGTGACTTGTGTGATCTGAGCTATGTGGCGCAAGCTATGTGGTGCGGCCTGACCTACGTGGTGTGAGCTGTGCTGTGTAAGCACTGCGGTGTCAGCCGTGCGGTGCGAGCTGTGCTGAGCAAGCCATGCTTCCCGCCCGGGGCGCGGGGGGCCCACGAGCGCCCACGCGACGCCCCCCGGGCGGACACCGGGCGATGCCTCGGCGGACCCGCCCCGTGCACGTGGCGTCCGCGGGCGCCAGCGAGGCGTCCGCGGGCGGGCACCGCAGCCACAACCTTCTGCACGTCCTGCTCGTCC